ATCTTTCAACAACATGCCAATCAATTCAGGAAATTCTGTATTAAAAGCTTGAGTGATAGCGCTTGAGATCTGAAGCGCTTCTATTGATGTACCCCCAGACATTAAAAAACCAGCGTCTCTATATTTTAAGTGATCATTCCACAAGTTCTCAAATATTTCATTAATGTGTAAGTTATTTATACTAACGATTTCTGTTTCGGAATTCCGACATACTTCTCTCAGTGATGTCTGGCAAATCTTTCCACTAGTAGTAAAATTAAAGCGTTCTATTATAATTATCTTGTCAGGCTTATAGATCGTAGGTAATATCTTTAAATGCGACATTATATTATCTCTCAATTTAGAAAGTTCTTCTTTTGCGTCTGTAATAGATAAGCATAAATATAATTTGTAGCGTTCTGTGTCCCAGTATGTAGCACAATTTCGTACAAAACTCAATTCCGTCGCAACTCTCTCAAGTTCTCGCAAGTTCACCTTGTTTCCAAATCTTTTTACAATATTATTTCGCCTTCCTCTATAAAATATTTTACGTTGATTATCTACCTAAAAAATCAAAAATAACAAATTTGAATAGACTCACCTTTATTATTAAAAACAATCTTGGACAAATTAAATTAATGAAACATAGTCTTTAAATAATTAATTTATAAATAGGACTTACGGAAACAATGTCACCAGTATCACGAAAAACTGGTTTAGTCAGATCTTCAGATTCATTTCCAACAATACAAATTCTAGTGGTACTTCCTATATATTTTTTTGAGAAGACAAATATATGAAATAATAGTTTATATAAAAATAAGTTACCTTACATATATAATATATATTTTTTACATATATTTATAACATTCAGAACTAACCGATATAAAGAGTGCCGTCACCTTTAATTACTATTTCATTATCTTCATTTCTGATTTGAAATATAGTTTCTGATAAAGGTTCACCTAAGCAAGACTCATCTACATTATTTTTGACGATTTCATTAATACTAGACCAACACGATATTTCGGTTAGACCATAAATGTTAAACAATCGTGTTGTATTTTGTGGATGACTAGCTTCTGAAAGCAATTTTATGCTAGGGAATGATTCTCCACCCAAAAGAAGAATTCTTAGCTTTGAATCTTTATTAAAGATTGTTGTTTTCAAGCGTTCAGTAGACCATTGATGAAAGAGAAGTGATGGAGTGATTTGAAGAACTGTTACATGAGCATGGAATATTTTTTCTAAGAGCCTAAAACATGTTTATATATTTTTGTACTGTTAATTTTATTATTTTTTGGCATTTGTTTATTAACATAGATTGATTAATATTTAAAGATATTTACCTGATAGTTTCATTCTTTAATGCTTTCGAAACCATAAATAAAGTTGCAGCACAACAAAAGTTTAAGAAAATTTCAATGATACTAGGATCGAAAGTAAAATTTGTTAGTTGTGCAATTTTATCAGAGCTCGTTATATCCAGGATTTTCTTCAAATCCATAATATTAGGTAATATACATGGATGGAGTACTTTGACAACTTTTGGTGTTCCAGTTGATCCCGAAGTAGCAATTGCATATGCAAAATGATGCCATCTTCTATTATAATTCTCTTGGACATCTACTAATTTTGTCAAATATACCGACTGTCCATGAATTTTAAAGTGATGTATGATGTTTCTGTTGGATGTTATGGATGATGTAAAAATATATTTTACATTTAGAGAAGTAAATATCTCTGTATGTATCAGTGGATTTGTAGGTACATTGAAAAAAGCATGTCCACCATTAAGGATTCTGTCAAAATATAAATTTGACATAAATATCCATAAAACAATAAATTATTCAATTAAATATATCTAATAAAAATAATGGTATTTTACCCAAGCATTAAAGAAGGCACACAGTACTCCAAAATATCAAAGTCAATACCAATAAATTCAGAACATTCTATATAATTTAAATGATTAGAAATTACTTCTTTTGCTGCTTTTAGTTCTTTGTAACTTATAATTTTAACGTTATCCAAATCATGATATTCTATAGCTGCTTTGTCAAGATAAAGCCAATTGCATTCATTGTGTAAAGCTTGTGGACTACTTCTATCATTTTGCATCTTTAATCCTTCAATACAATTAGCTAAAACACGTGATAAACTCGATGAATACATTGTTTAAACACAATACTCATATATATTTGGTAATAAATGTTACTTTATATTACAAATAAAAATCTATGATTATTACATATTAGTTGTTTGTATTAATACGCACTTGTTTGGCTCATAGTATAAATTTAATGTTTCTATTACCATTACATTTAAAAAATATAATTCTTTAACGATTAACTTTAGTAAGATGTTTTTTTAGTAATTATACAGAATAGCTACAGCTCAAAAATCGATGAAATTAGGCTTAATCGACGCGTTTTTGCATCAAACGAAAGAATCTGGCAGAAAAAAGTGTTGCTCTTCCCTACGAATCGAGATATTTAGTGTTAAAGTTGACGATTATGGAGGTTAGAAAATATGTCACAGCCACACACACACACACACACACGGGGGGTGCAACCGAAGCCCCTTATGCTTATCCGAAGCCATTTTTCGTTTATTTTCCTAATATTTATTGCAATAAATAATATTTTCATAATGAAACGACGGACATATTGTACGCTTTCTCGATTTTGCCGCTTGCTGCTTGCTGTTCGTTCGGTTTAGAGTTCCTCTAGTAAGAGTTAAGCCATCAGCGGCGTCGCTCGCGATTGGTCAGAAGTTTCGACGCCATGTTTTGGGACCCTACGATTATTTAGTGAGTTAACCTGTACGTGCACAACCAACACATACATAAAATTGTGTACTTCTTTCAAACGCTTCAGCAGATTGAGCAGATTCCAAACGTTAAAGTAAATTGAAATTCTTACTCAAGTAAGTTTAACATAATTTAAACGTTATTGACAATCATTTCCCATGCGATAATTATGTAATTAAGTTACGAAAAAGAATTTCACGTTTAAATTACATTAAAATGAATTTTTCGTAACTCGAATGAAAAAGATAAAAATTGCAATTTATCAAAAAATAAGGTTTTGAATTTTTATAAATTTGACACGTATTTAAAAACTTTCTATTTTTCACTTGAGTCACGAAAAAATTATTTTAATAAACTGACTCGTTTACTTGGTAAGATCT